AAAACTTAACTACCTGTCTTTACATGTTTGAGATTGCTAGATATCTCTCTGTTCCGTTTCCCTGCTCTGGGCATCCCTCCCACAGTAGTCACCCTCTCTGTCCCTGTGTGTGTGAGCCTTTACTTCTGGCTAGATAACCTGTGGTGGGTATGGCTAGTCAAGCCAGTGCATTTAAATTCAACCTGATCAAGGGGTGCCTACATAACTGCCTGGGTGGACACTGGTAGTACTAGGATTCAGGCCACAGGACCCACATGCACACTGTTCAGAGGATACCCTATGCGCCCAAGTGTGCATGTAGGAGGTGTCTGGGCTCTGAGGAGTGGAATGAACTCACACAAGGTCATTCTCTTTGGAAGTGTAGAGTCCAGATTAGCACCCAGACTGCTCAGATACTGAAATGCAGCAAGGTGGATGTGGGGATTAGAGGGTACAGATGCCACCAAATGTCACCAGGGGCTGGATCATGTTGGCCAGAATTCCAGGATGAGGTTTTGTGCCAAGGCATGGGAAACCATACAGGGTTGGTGCAGAGAGGGACAAGGACAAATCTACCAACTGTTTTCTTTCTGGACACCACATGGAAGAGAACTGGGAGGAGTAGGCAGGGAGACAGATGGCTGCTGTGTAGACAACCAGGTGATCCACCCTGGGGCAGGGACCAAGGCAGTGAGTAGACAAAAAGAGAAGGGGCAGAACCTGAAAGATGTTGGAAGAGGTGGCATCTCTGTGCTCTGATGGCAGATTGAATGTAAGGGCCAAGAAGAAGGGGACAGGTTCCTGGCTCAGGCATTCAAATGGAAGGTGGTCCAACCAGCAAAAACTCTATTTGGTATGCTCCAGGTGAACGGCTTCATGTTAAGTTTTTTGTTGGGCCTCATCAATAATGCATGGGCGGGATCAAAAATCCCCCAACTCTGCACTATAATGTATTTCTACCAATGCATGTGAATGAAGGAAGTTCCCAAACTCATTTCTTCTTCCCCTCTCCTTTCCCCACTGCCTTCTTTCTGGCTCAGCAGATTATTAGCTGTTTCTAAAACACATACCACCCCTGCCAGTCTTGCTGCCGGTGTCCATACCTTGCCCTCTACCTGAAATGCTTTGCCTTATACCCTGTTTGTCTAAATCCTGCCTAGGCATTGGGGCTCAGCCCCTCCAAGAAGGCTTTTGTAACTCCCCATGGGGGATATGAAAGGGAAGGGGGACATGTGCACACTCACAACTGTAGAGGGGCAGCAGGCTAGGGAATTGCCACCTCAGGCAGACTGTCACTCTACTACTTACCTGCTCTGTGACCTCAAGTGATAGCTGTGATGACAGTGTTAGACGGGATCTTGCTGCCAATATCAGCACTTGCTTTATATTATGTTATTTAATCCTTACAACCACCCTCCATGGTTGGTAGAGCTCACCCAATTATATGGATGAGGAAACAGGCTCCCAGAGTTGCAGTGACTCAACTGGGATCACTCAGTAAGAAGCAGCCAAGACAGCAGACTGGCCAGTCCACAGCAGTCTGTGTCTGTAACCACTGTGCTCACTGCCACCAGCCTTGGCTCTTCCTCTGACAGGGGGGGCCAGGAGTCATGGAGAGGAGAGATCACATCTTTGACAGCACCAGTCCCCACAGAGCTGGGTACATAGCAGCTGCTGACCTAATAATATTCGCTCCCATGCTCCCCTCTCTATCTGTGCAATTGTTTAATAGGGAGGACCACAAGGACCATGGCAGAGCCCACAAGCCCTGAAAGACCAGGCAAATCTGGGCTGCTGTTCCTAAAGGGACCCTGGTGCTGTCAGGTGTTTCTGCAGATCTTTATCCCAGGCCTGCGTTAATGGGGTAGCATCTCTTTTCCACTTGCTGCTTCCTTTGAGTCTGCCTGGAGGGACGAGCCACACTCATGAGGGAACCCCCAACAGCTGCCCATTATACCCCAGCCTGCAGCTCAGCTATGGGAAGTTTGAGGGGTAGAGAGCAGGACAAGGTAGGGCTAACGCTCATAGGCATAGCTTGGGCATTGGTGCATATGCATATGTATTGGGGTGCTTTGATGGATGTGAGTGACAAGGAGTACTCACAGGGGTGCATGGGTCCCTATGCCCAGCAGCCTCTGCTTCAAACCCATTTTTTATCCCATATTGGAGATGCCAGCACTGCTTTCAAGTCCAGAGTGATATGGAGAAAGTTGGGGCTATGCAGTGAGACCCTCTTACCACAGCGCAGGGAGCCATGCAGAGGGGCCAGGAAGGCTCCTCCTAGGAGGTGGTGTTGAGGGGAGGTGTGTTTGAATGGAGGAACAGCTCAAGCAAAGGCCTGTTGGGAAGGAGATTCCTGGCAGGTTCAGAGACAGTCATCACCTCACAGCTGACACGTGGGGTGGGTGGGGGTGGGAGAGGCCATGTTGGAAGACAAAACACCAAGCTCTGGATCCTAGACTTTTGAAAAAATGTATGCATTAAATTGTCAGAGAGTTGGAAGGGAAGGTGTCCCAGGAGGGGCACAGTCTGAACAAAGGCAGAGGTTAGGAGCAAATGTGCTGAGATGGAAGGTTGGCCAAGACAGGGATACGTGGACCCCTGGGGGGAATGACATACTGATCCCTGGAGTCTGGAAGTCAGGAAAGTCACGCAGCTTGGAGGAGTTATTACCCTCAGCTGCCCACATCCCCCTCCCTGTACAACCCAGCAAGGAACAAAGGAATGGGCTGGATGTTGAGAGGAAGCCCTGCTCTTGAGCCCAGGCCCCTCCATCCCATTTTGGGGTGAACTTGGCACAAGTCCATTGCAGGTGAACGTGGGGGGGATGTGGCTAGCCACCTGTAATTGCCTACTTAGGATTCCCTTCCAGTTCTGATGCACAAGACAGGCACAGGGTCTGGAAGTAGCAAGGCGGACAGCCTCTGAAACCCAGCTGTGAAGGCTTGCCTTTGACCTGCCCCAGCAGAATGAGGCCTGCAGTTGTGACCAGGCCTTCAAGGGATCATTGTCTCTGGGCTCTTGTCCTTATGTCTGTCTGGTGGTTCCGCACTGGCCTCCACTCCATCTGCTGCCTCTTCCCTGCATTAGACTTCAGTGACCCTCATTTCTAGCTGCTACAACTGCTTTCTTCTGTCTCTTCTCCCAGCCAACTTGTCACCAGCAGCCATGGGCAGCTTCCTAAAATGCCTATCATGCCTTGACATGTGTGTCTCCCACATGGGCTTTGAGCTCCTGGAGGGCAAGACCTGTGTCTGAGTTTTCTCCATGTCTTGACTCACCCAACACAGGCTGGAGCCAGTCTATCCAAATGAACGGCCCATGCCAGAAATTACCAGGAGTGCAAAACTGCCCTGGATTGGGGGCACTGACCTCCAGGGCCAAGAGATAAGCCAGGGGGACCACGGGATCTGACCTCTACCCCTATCCTCTCCAGCCCCGCCCCCCACTAACAGATAAAGTGACTTTAAAGTTGGGGGGGCAACAAAAACATAAAATGAAACAGGTACCTAGCTTAGAGAAGAGGGAGCTCAAGTGTTTCAAATGTGGATACATCTTCGGAAACTTGTCACACACTCCCTTCCTCTGCAGATGAGCCCAGAGGAAGGGTGTGGAAGAAAAGGCTAATGGGAGCCCTAAACCTTGGAGAGCACAGCCACTCCCACTTCACTCTAGGCTGCCTGCTGCTAGGAGCCCAAGCTGTTCTCATGCAGAGGGTTGGGGTCACAGAGGTCCTAGCCGAGCTAGGTACTCATGGTTGGCACATCAGCCCTAGACCTAGAAGATGAAGCCAATGACTTCAAAGAGGGAGCCTGCCTCATCTAGTCCTTTCCTCCTCAGGGTCACCTCTCCCTGCCCACCTGCCCCCAGGAAGGCAGCATAGCACAGAATCTAGTCTTCGACATCACACTTGGCCTGCATCCAGGTTTTGCCATGTCATTGGCAGGTCACTTTGCCAATGTCTCTAAGATGGGGACATCTTGTGAAGATGTCCCACGCTTCACAATTGTGTGGTTAAACACTTAGCACCACACCTGAAATGGCAGGTGTCAGTTGCTGTTGACTCTGTCTCTGTCTGTCCCTTACCCAAGTATGCGCAGGCCAGAGGTTCAGCCTGGCTGGAAAAGGGTCAGACAGTGGGGAGAAGCAGGAAGGGATAAGCAGGGAACCATAGGTGTCCACTTCTGTAACACTGGCTTCTGGGCAGCTGTGTGGACACTGGGGGCAGGAAGAGGCTAGGAAGAGTTTGATGTGAGAAGACTCTGGGAAGAGAGGTCACAGCTGGGTAGAGCCTGCAGCGGGAGAGTCAAGAAGGGCAGAGGCCTTGCTCCTTTCTCCATCTCCACTGTGATCCATTTCTTCCTCTCTGTCCATCACATACACACACCCAGTCCAGAAACATGACATAGGTGGGCTGTGCCCACCGCCCAGCACTGGACCTGGTGTGTGTTAGGCACAGGATACTAAACAGCCAGATGTCAAATGAAAGACGTCAGTGTACAGATGTGGTTATTGTTCTCACAGGAGTTAGCATTGAAGACAAGGACCCTTGACACTCAGTGACTTATACTGTGGGGCCTCCTATCAGCCCTGACAGGTGGCTACCAGCTTCAAGTTTAGAGCTAGGAAATGCAGCACAGGGTGGTTCAGGGACCCACCCATACCCTCCCTGGGACAGAGTCCCCTCAAGTCCAAGCCAGGGCCCTACCTTCCTGGATTCTGGGCTCAGGCATGGCCTGCCTCACAGGGTCCTGATTAAGGGCTGGGCTGTGGCCATAGCACAGCAGCATTGCAGCATTCGGGAGGTGGAACAGCACCTTCTTCCCCAGCCCTCAGCCCACTCTAAGTCAGGGTGCACTTTTTCGGGCCTGGAGCATTTATCAAGAGCTGAGTCAGAGTTCCTAGGGACTCGGGCAGGACAGTGGGGCACAGGGTGCCAGGGCCAGGTGGGGCCTAGGGGGTACATTTCTAGGGAATAGGCCCTAGAGTCTGTGGGCACCCCTCATTAGCCTCTCCTGCAGTTTGAAGGCTGCAGCAAAGCCTTCTCACGGCTGGAGAACCTCAAGATCCACCTGCGGAGCCACACAGGAGAGAAGCCATACCTGTGCCAGCACCCCGGCTGCCAAAAGGCCTTCAGCAACTCCAGTGACCGCGCCAAGCACCAGCGCACCCACCTGGACACGGTAGGCCCAAGCACAGTCGGGTGGGAGGCAGGGATGTACACAGAGCTGCTGCCTGATGCAGAGCCAGTGTGAGGCAGAGACCCTGTCTTTGCGCTCTGGTCCTATGTAGTCTGGGGAAGGTAATTCTCTGGAAAGTGTGTCCTGTGCATTATAGGATGTTTACTAGGGTCCTTGGCCTCCATTCACAAAACAGCCAAGATTTTCCATCTCTCAGTTGTGACACACAAATACTACTAGATATTATCAGATGTCACCGGTCGGGTGGAAACACAGCAGGGGCCTCCCACTGAGATTCTCTGATTTGGCCTTGGGCCCCAGTATCCTTGCACATCCTTTGTATCCTGATGCAAGAGTATCCCCCACTCCTACATCCTCTCCCAGGCAGGTCAACCCACACCCAGAGCAGGCCACCCCCCTGCTCTTCCTACCCTCCAGCTGGGGACAGGACACAGGTTCCCCAGGGCCATCTTTGTCCCTTGAGGACTGTAAGTGGAGTTGAGGTGGGTGGCATGTAAGATTGAGCAACTCAGCCTCTGGGTGCCTGCATTTGTTTCAATCACCCTTCTCCGCTCCTCCCCTCTCTCCCCACCCCCTGCCCCATTTGTGCCAGACAGTGGATAACCCGAAGCTCTACCCAAGTGGGTCCAAGCCTTCCCCATGTGCATCAAGATCTCAGTGATTAACAGAGTTATCTCTAAAATATTGTGTACACACTGCCCTACCCTCAGGGTTCCTGACCCATTTGACAGAAGAGGGAAGCAGGCTTAGGGAATCGGTACCTGCTCACAGTCTCATGACTGGACAGTGACAGAGCAGTAGCAGAGCTGACTCAAACGCAGGCCTCATTCCAGTCAAAGGCCCTGGGCGAGGTGGCAGATGCCTTGGGAGGACCTTAGCCCCTGTGTGCAGCAGGAAACCGAGGTCTGCAGCCAGAATCCACATCTGGGCCCCAGGCTTACTTCTCTGCTCCTCTACAGATGTTTGGGGAGCCAGGGAATGAGGCTGGGAGATCTGAGTGGCTGTCTAGCCCAGCCTATCTAGTACACAGATGAGGAAACAGAGGTCTAAGTTGGAAGCCATGAACCAGCAGAGGTCAAAGCTGAAAGTACACTTACCACTCTTTGGCCCAAGCCCTGTACTTTATAGCTGGGAAAATAGACTCAGAAAAGGGATGGGCAGAAAACAGCAGGGAACTAATGGAGCCAGACCACCCCCCACAGTATCACATGCCTGCTTCAAGTATAAGGGCCACTGTTCCCATTTTGTAAATGAAGCTGAGACTCAGACTGCGTCATTTCCCTGTCAATAGCAGGCAAGTGGTGGAGCTGGAATGCACACCCAGGCTGTCATACTCCAAGTCTAGTACTCTTTGCTGGAAAAGCTATTGTGGCAGCCACGCTGGAGGGTCAAAGCTGAGCAGAATTTCCCTCTTAGGATGGCAAGAAACAATCCTGTCCCCAGCCCGAACCCGGCTCCCCTCCCCTTCCAGGCTTCTTTGTCAAAGGCTATTCTGGGACCTGAGCAAGGAATTGTTCTAACAAATACCTAGCCCCTAGGTTACCTTCTCCACCCTGGGGTCCTTAACACTTTGATCCTGAGAGCTATGGTTTGTGCCTCAGGATCCCCAGTATATCTACCAGGGACCACAAGGCAGCCCTGACATTGCCGGCCTCTGACCCTCTCCATACATCCCAGGCCTGTGGAACAGGTCCCCACAGGCCTCTTGTTGCCTACCCTGCTTATCCCCTCCCTCCCGACTCACTGCATTTCCTGGACCCAGCCCCAAAGCAACATGCCTCTGGCCTCACTTGGTGTGTGAACAGAGCTCCAAGGACTAGGTCAAGGCATGCACAGAAAGAAGTCCACAGAGTTAGCCTAGGCCTCGTTTCCCTAAGGGGTCCCTGGGAACTCTGGGAGGTGCATCTATGAAGCCCAGCACCCTACTTGCACCCTGCTCACTACATAAACAGCACAGGCAGCTTGGTGCTGCTCCACTGTCCCACCCCCAACTCCTCAAAAGCCCAGTGGGCAGACACCATGCAAGGCAGCACCTTGTTTTCCAGAAGGGACCCAGCCATGTTCTCCTAGCATCAGAGACTGTGGAGTCCTCCATGGGCAGGAAAGTGTTTGTGAACAGATGAGAGAACCAGGCCTGGGCACTGATTCTGACCTCTGGCTCCAGAAGTCTGAGGAGAGCCACCTACCCTCTCTGGACCTTGGTTCCCTCAAAGGTGAAAGATCTGCCTCTCAAGAAGAAGGGGGCCAAGCATAGTGGCTCATGCCTGAAATCCTAGCTAGCAAAAAGCTAGTGAGACCCCATCTCAACCAATACAAGCTGGGTATGGTAGCATGCACTGTCATCCCAACTATGTGGGAAGCAGAAATAGAATTGCAGTCCAGGCCAGCCCAGGCATAAACTTAAAAGCAGAAAGGGTTGGAGGCATGGCTCGGGTGGTAGATTGATTACCTAGCCAGCGTGAGGCCTTGAGATCAAACCCCAGTACTGCAAAAAAGGGGTGGAGGAGGAAGGTTGCTGAAGTGGCAAATGTGGAGGCCTGAATGGGGTTGGCCCTTCTTTTCCTGCATAGGAAAAGCACTTCTTTTCCTGTCCTGTTGCTCACAAACTAAATGCCAACCAAATCCTACCATGTGCCACACAGCCAGTTTATAGAGTTTGAGCCCTGGCAGCCACAGGTCCCAGTGTGAAATCAATAAGCCACCTTCCTGCTCTGGGCCTCAGTTTCCTCATCAGCAGGATGGGGGTGATAATCTCTCTGTTGCCTACTTCCCCACTCAGTTCAGGACTGCAGAGAAGAGGTGATTTAACAGGGGCACATGCATACTCTTGCTGGCGCAGTGTGGGCCTCCATTTTGTCCTCCACAAAGTGAGGCTAACTCTCCTGGGGTGATGTGAGACTCAGAGGGAAATTAACAGAGTGCTGTACCCAGAGAGTGCTCAAGAGAGGAGCTGGCCTCTGAGCACAGGCCGAAGGGGCTCTGTGAGCCACAGTGGTCATCCACACACGACAAGTAGCCTTGTTGAGAGGAACGGAGCAGCCCTGGTCTTGGAGCTTGTGTGGGGACTCCAGGCCTGGGGTTTGGCTGCTGTCTTGGGACAGCCACAAGGTTTCCTGAGGGTTTAGGGGGAGTTGGGCCTGAGGAATGTTCTATACACGTCAAGCCCTAGAAAAACAAACATGGAGATGGGCCTTGCTGCCCTGTTTCCAGGAGAGTATGTCTGCTACGTGGAGCTCTGTTTGTTTGCTTTTTGCCAAAAGCGTGAGGATTTGTATCAGAGTTCCCGAGGGACAAGGCTTGGGGCCAGCTCAAGGTCCATAGTAAGGGAGACGAGTGTGTGTGTTGGGGTGGGGGTCAGGGCCCATGAGAGGGGCCGTGTGCGTGTGTGAGAGAGAATGTGTGTGGGGCAGGCATCGGGCAATCTGAGGCAGGCTTCCCGTTCCTGCCCCTGCCTTACTGTCAGCCCAGAAAACTTCTCATCACTGACTCTCTCTTTTTGCTCTCCTCTGTTCTTTAACCTGGAAACCCTCCATGACAGCTCCAAGGTATGGTTGTCTCTTTCTGCTTCCCCTCCCCGTGAGGTCCCTGGGCCATAGACACCTCTCCCAACCTCCCTGCAATGTGGCAGGGGTAGAGTGGCCTCGAGGTTTGGGGGTATTTGTCTGACAGGACACAGTCCCTGGGACTCACTCCTAAGAGGTGTCATTTCCTGCCAACACTCTTTCGTTCTCTGTAGTTCCAGGAGGGCACATGATCCCTTGATATGTTAAAAAAAAAAAAAAAAAAAAAAAGGAGGTCTCATGAACTTCCAGCACCAGTAGTAGCAGGCTCTTGTGGAAGCCCCTGAGTAGATCAGAATTCAATTAAGAGTCATGGGTCCTCTGCCCTGGTCTCCTGAGACCTGGGCTGAATCAGATTGGTCCCTGCCCTGGTGGAGAAGAAGGACGCTGGGCAGGCTCGGCAGCCCAGGGTGGGCAGGGCTGTTGGCAGGAAATCCAGGCCTGTGGAAAGAGGAGGATTCGAGGAAGGTTTAGAGAGCAGGGGACATGGACTGGATTTGAGAGGTGAGGGGGTCCCATGGTGGGGTAAGATGGAGTGGGGATGAGGGCAGAGGAGGGGTGAAGAGTGGAGGAGGCCCCAACCTCAAAAGGCCACAGTGATGGGATGGCCTGTGTTTTGAATGCCAGGGAGCCATGAGGGGGTTATAGAGGGCAGAGCATGGCCAGCTCATAAACAAGACCCTGGATGTACACAGGAAGGAGATTAGAGGCTGGGGACAGGGTGAAACCTGGGGCAGGAGTCCAGACAAACACAGTGGAGATGACTTGGGATCTCCTGCTTATCCTTTAGAGGAGCAGTGGGGGGCCCCAGAGAAAGGCAGGCCCACGCCCATGCAAAGGGCACAGTCCCCAGCCACCTGGCCCTGGCTATCTGAGGCCAGCTCCTTTCTGACCTTCCATGGGTCTTAGACAGAAGACCTCCATAGGCTATCTGGACTTATCAGCCAGGTATGGTCAGTCCCAGGCTGGTCATGCTGTCCCTGTCTTCCTTCTCCCTCTCCTGGCCAGGACAGCCTGTCACATGACTCCTCTGCTCATTCATTGCTGCTTTGCAGCTGTGCAACACAGGGACACTTTTCTCAGGGAAGAACCCCTAGAACTCAGCCCCATTTTGCAGAGGAGAAAAATGAGAGTCCACAAGGGGACACAGCTCACCTGAGGTCCCAGCATGCTGGTAGAATGGGGACAAAAAGCCCCTCCTTCACTCCAGGCCAAGTGCCTTCCCCTCCCCTGTAGCCTGCAGCCTGCAGCCTGCCCCTTACCCACTCATCCTCCCTATAAGCGGTCACACAGGGGATCTTTTTTCCCTGAGAGATGGCCCCTCACCAGCTTCCCACGCCCCTCTGATGTTACAGAAGCCGTATGCCTGTCAGATCCCTGGCTGCGCCAAGCGCTACACGGACCCCAGCTCCCTCCGCAAGCATGTGAAGGCCCACTCAGCCAAAGAGCAGCAGGTGCGTAAGAAGGTAAGATGGCCTCCCAGCCAGGCCCACCTCTGCAGACACCCCTGCTGTCCCAGCCACTTATCTAGAGTCAGGCCAGGTACCCACACTACCTTAGTGTGCTCACCTATCCACATACCTGTGAATACCACTGTCCAACTATCCATCTGTCCATCCATCTGCTTCCCACCCAGTCCTCAAGTGTATCCATTGACCCACAGCCTTATTTCTTCATCCCAGCTAGCTCGACACTCACCCCCACACACAAACTGTCCGAGTGCCCTCCCTTCATCAACAGTGACATCTAGTCCTGTGCTAGGCATCATGGGTGCACAACAGGAAAGGCATGGTGCCCACTTCAATGGTGAGAGGCAGACATCCAAAGGTGACTCAGTATAGTACAAGAAAGGTGACAGCAGGGGTGTGTGAGTAGTCAGGGGTATAGATAAGGGGGCCTTAACATAGAAGCAGAAGGGTCTGTGAGAGAAATAGCACTGGGGGCCACAGAGGACAGTAGTTGGTAATATGAGCTCTAGAACCATCTGCAGGGCTCACTGTTGCTAGCTTAGTGGCCCTTGGCAAGGTCCTTTGTGCCTCTTCATCCTGCTCATCACCGGGAAGGGCGAGGAATAAGGGCTCGCTTCATAGGACAGGATTGAAGGAATGAACATATATTCGGAACTGAGCCTGTATCCTGTGTCTGGCACAGATTCACAACAGAAATTGGTGTGTACTGTCATTTGTCTTGAGGCAGTGCGGGCCAGATGGAGCTCTTCAGGCCAGAAGAGCTCCCTGGAGTGACTAGAGTTGAGCAAGGACTGGAGCCCAATGCCCATGGCATGGGCAAGGCCAATGGTGCATGCTGTTTCTATGACTGGACAGCCACCACAGGCTCAAAGGCCTGCTCAGGAGTTAGACTATGTCCTGAGGATAGGTGGTGCTATTGGAGGAGTTCTTAAGCAGAGAAGGGACATGTCACCTGGAGAGGTGCCTCCAGGACCATGAGGAGAATGGGTGATTGGAGGGAAATGCAAGACAGGAGCCAGAGCTGGGAGCAAGGGATACTGTAGAAGCCACCCAGGGCAGAATTAGGGGTGGTGGAAGAGGGGCCAGGCAGGGCAGAGAAAGCAGGCACCCCAGGACCAGACTTGGGAGGCAGGAAGGATGGTAGTGCCCTTTGGCCAGGACAGAGAACTGAGAAGGAGGCAGGTTTACAGGGGAAAGCCAGCAGTGGGTTCTGTTTGGAATCAAGAGGGTACACAGGGGGACAGAACAAAAGTGTGAAGTAGATCCTTCTGACATGGGGAAACTCAATTTCCCAGGTGCCTTGGCAGTGGATTACTCAAGTACCAGTAAGGCTGTAGGGGTGAAGAGAAGCTCAGTGGCGGGCCAGGGGACTTCAGCATGGCCAGAAGATAAGGGGCAAAAAAACCTATTAATTTGTTCAGCCCAATGTATGGAGCATACATTATATTCCAAGCCCTATTCAGTGCACCACAGATTCAGCTGTGAGTAAAACAACACAGGCTACAGACAGAGAGAGCAGACCGCTTCTGTCCCATGGATGGGGTAGACAGGGAATGGTAGCTGGGAGCATCTGGGCCTCATGGTGGGGAAGGACGGCTGGACTTGGAGTGTGGATTTTCATCTTCAGCATGCACAGTGCAGAGCATGCACAGTGAGCTCGCTGTTGAAGCCACCACCTCCATATTCACCCTGAGAAGAGGCGCTGGGCTTCAACCCAGTTGCCTCCACAGCTCAGGCGCTGGACCTGTTCCTTCACATAACGTATGTCACTTAGTCCTCCCTGGGATCCTAGCAGTGAGGACTGATTTCATTCCCACTTTCAGAAATGTAGGAACTTAAGGCTCAGAGAGGAATCAGATCAGCCCAGAGTCATGCAGCCTAGGGAGGGACAGAGCCAGGACCCCATTTCAGACCTTCTGTCTCCAGAGCTGGGCTCCAATGCTGCTCTCAGGTAGAAAGGCCTGAGTGGAGCTAGGAGTGGTCTAGGCTTCAGTTGACTGGGGCTCCATGCCAGGGAGGCTTCTGTCCCAAGCACACCAGAGACCGGTGCCCGAGGATCGGAATCCCGCCCTGGTTTTCCCAGGCCCCATACTTGGCTCACGCAGAGCCTCCAGGGACTCAGCCGCAGATCTGCAAACTTCCCAACAATAAGCATCCATTAGAGCCATTGGGATGATGTATCTTTCTGGGTAAAGCGACCCTTGTATTATGACAAGTCCTTGGCAGCCCTGCTGCGTTTCAGAGAGAATTAGAAATGCTTTTCTTCCTTAATTCTCCTCTCCTGCTGCTCCTAATCCCATCGACATTGCGGTCTGCAGGAACATGCCTTGGCTCTCTTTTGCCAGAAACTTCATTTACATGGAAAACAGCTGCCGGGTCAGGCGCTGAGAGCCCAGCAAGAGGCAGGCATGCCTTCCCCAGTCTGAATCTGGGGCTCTGGCCTGGGAGGGTGGGAAACCCCTCAGGGCTGACTCTCAGCTGCCCAGAGACATGGAACAAGGCTCTCTCGTTCCCCATCCTGGGTTAAATGAACACTTGGACAAGCTAGTCTCCAAGACCGCCTGCTCTGACAGCCAAGCCTTGGGATTTCCCTGGGAGAATTAGCCCCTCTCATACAGATATCTGTCCTTTTCCTCCCAGTGTCCCAAGGATTCTACCCTGTCCCCATTCTGGATTCTTCTGGAAAGATGAAGATGTTCTGAGGTTTGGGAATAGCCAAAGGGAGTTGGCCAAAGCCTGGCTTGGGCTATGGGGTACATCCCAGCCCAGGCTTGCTACTAGCCAGACAACTCAGATCCATACACTGATCCATCTGACCCCCTGTCATGTGACTGTGAAACTCAGGCAGCTGGAACTCAGCCAGCCCTGCTCATACTTCACACAGTATGTTTTTACCCATCACCTTACCACTGGTCACAGCAGGCGAGGGCAGGCAGAGGCAGGAGGTGATCACTGTTGAGTTTTATAGGCAGGGTGGGTAAGAAGGTTATTTGTCCAGTATTACACAGGGAATGAGATGTGGGATGGAATTTGAACCCAGATCTTCTGGGTCCAGCCCCAGTCTCTTTCTACTACCCTTGCACAGTGAGGGAAGAACGATGGAGGAGGGGAGGAGGGAAAGGCGCTGGACGTCTGCTGGTCTTCACTCCTACCACGACAGTTATTCCTGATGGCAGCTGTGAAGGCCTGACTGCCGGGCTTGGCCACCCCTCCTGGCATTGTGCCTCCTGCCAGCTGTTTTCAACCAGTGATGGTGTAGCCCTAAGGGACCACAGATCCCTCCTAAGAGACACAGGACTGACTCCCAGCTTTGGGAGCTCCCCCAGCTCCTTCTCCTCTGTCCTTTCCTGGGCTGGTGAGTTAGCCTTCCTGGCTGCTGCTTATTCTCTCACATTGGTGCTTCCCATAGTAAAATCCCTGTGTGCTGAATCCCATCTTGGTACCTGCTTCTCAGAATACCTGAACTAACATGATCCTCGCCGTGTGCATTAGTTTATTTTACAGATGAGGAAACTGAAGTGTAGTGAAGAGGGTCTTGCCTTGGGGCATCTGACCTTCTGCCCTGTCCCCTAAAGTGAGCAGTGAGAAGGTGGTCTCACACTAACATCCCTCCCTGTGCTTGCTCCCCAGCTGCACACAGGCCCTGATGCTGAGGCTGACGCCCTGACTGAGTGTCTGGCCCTGCAACAGCTCCATGCGTCCACACAACTGGCTGCCAGTGATGGAAAGGGTGGCTGTACCCTGGGCCAGGAGCTGCTCCCAGGTATGTGAGTTGGGGGTATGACCAGAGCATAGTCAGGGAAGTCCTTTCTCTGCCAAGCATCCCTGTAGGAGGACAGTGATGTTCTGTGGGCCCCAGGCCACATGGGCATGACCTGTTTCAGGGCACCCACTCCTCTGGACTTATTGCCTCTACTTCTTGCTCCCTCCTTTCAATCCACCTTCTCCCTGCAGTTCTTCTAAGTGGGTACTCCCTCAACTCCTCCATGACTCCCCAGTGCCCGTGGAGTAAAGCCCATACCCCCTCAGACTGGCCTCTGAGGCCTGTTCTGGGCCTTTCCTGGTGTCCTCTTGCCCCCATCTTAGCACATTGGACGTGTTCTTTGGCCATTGTCTGCTCCCTTGTACTCCAAGTCTTGTGTACCAGCTCTCTCCCCTCACCTCACCAAGATGGCTCATCCCTTGCCCTCAGGACCTGCCTTCTTGTCCCCTCCTCCAGGAAGTCTTTCTTTGGGCTATCACTGTTTCCTGTCTGACTCACTCACCAGAATGGGACTGTAAGCAACTCTGGGGCATCCCAGGGTCTCTAGCACCCAGCATGGGTTACTTGCAGAACCAGGTGTTTGGGGTGCCCCCAAACATTGTGAAGAAAGGCTGTGGCCCCGGGGTGTAAGATCTGGCTCTTGCCTGTGGTCATCTGCCAGGTCACCTGCAGAGAGGAACTGCCTTAAAGAAACAACTGTTCTGCCCCCTGCCTCAGCCTGAAGTCCTGATTAATCCCTAGCACAAGAGGAGAGAACCAAGGCTCTGAGAGGGTAGGCTGCTTGGCCAAACCACTTCCTCCTTGCCACTGAACCTTGTGGCCCAGAGATGGGGCTCCCTGAGCCCCAGGACACTGCAGGCCCAATCTGGCCTAACACTCTAAGCTTCTGGTCCAGTTGAGGAAGCCTGTGCCTCCCTCCCAGCAGCTGCACAGACTCAAGTCACAGCAAGGATTCCTGGCCTCCTGACTTGGGAATGCAGTCCAGATAAGGGCAGCGTGGCCTTTGGATCCAGCTGACAGTTCTTGTGTTCTGCCCCCAACTCCCCTAAAGAAACCACAGCCTCAGAGCAGAGCGCTCTACGCACCCTGTGGGATTTCTTGAATTATTTTAACCATTTTTTATTTTCTAATTTTATTCTTCTCCCTCAACACTGAAGTAGCAGCAGATTTTTAAATCTGCCAGAGCCCTCACCCAGCAGCCTTAGAAGAGCTGGTGTTCACCCTTTCTCCAGGCTCACCAGGGAAGGACGCCCCAGGGATGGGCACCATAGAGAAGGGCTGTACCTTCCCCCCTCAGCCAGGGGCCCCTCCACCATGGGCAGCTTCTCACAGGGCCAGAATTCTGAAACAGCAGGGCTACAATGGACCATAAAGATGTGCCAGCCCAGGGATGAGAATGTTTCTAGCGCCATCTCCCAGAGGCTGGTCCTAACTGCTGGACCCCAAGTAGCGGCTTCTCTTGTCTGTGCAAGAGAGGGGCTGCCATGATTTGGAACATCAGCCCGGGGCTAGTGTCCTGGATTGGTGGACCTTGAGAAGACTCAGGCTGGGCATAAGGACTAACCCAAGGTCATCCAGAGAATCAGCAGGGTTGGCCCCTGGGAGAGGAGCAGAGCCAGCAGGAACCATTCTCTTTCCAAACACCATCTCATTCAATCTCCAAGGTGACGTCAAAGTGGAAAGGCCTCAGGTCAATCCCAGGCCTTCAGGACCTGCTGCTCTGGCCCTCAGACAGTGAGGAAGTAGAATCTTCCTCAGTGCTTTGTGCCTCAGTTTCCCTCCCAGGCCTGCTATGAGGACAGATGGGAGAACATGTCCCAGCAGCTATTGAGAGCCTGTCCTTGCCCGTTTTAACTCCAGCTATTCACATTGATTCAGAAGGTGCATACCCTTCCCAGCCAGAAGGGGCAGAGCAGGACCTAAACCTAGCCTACTGCCAAAGGCTGTGTTCTTAACTGAATAGTCTTCTGCCTGTGCTGCTGGTGCCACTCCCATGCCATCCTGAGCACCTACTGTATACTAGCCCCTGTGTGGGTCCCTGTCTTCCACTGTAGTCAGGGAGAAAGGAGCAGCCAGGCAAACCCAGGATGCTGGACTTGCCAGCCCTCTATGGACCACACGACAGATGCCCAAGCAACAGTTGGAAACAGATGTTAGGGCCAGAGGTTAAGCACTCACAGCTGATGATTGATGACGTCGCTTTATAGCCTGAAGTGGTGCATTTTGGGGGAAGCTGGGCAGGCCCAGGGTTCCTACTCCCACAGTCCCTCACAATCCTTTGATTCATTCCTCCCTACCCCACTGTCTGTTCACATGTTCGGCCTCTCCAGTTCTCACATCCGGCCACTGCTGCATGTCCAGCCTCAGTGGGCTATTCCAACAGGAATATGGACCAAGGCGGCAGCGAAGGCAGAGGATAGAATCTGGAAGAGTCAGAATAGAAGAGTCTAGGACACAAGGGTGAGGGGAGGAACTGGAGCAGTGACATTGATCGTCACTGTGTGATTATGGGAGGCTCCTACAGGTGTCCCTCCTCTGTAGAGGAAACCCTGGGTACTTATCTGGCAGGCCCATCTTCAGCAGACCCAGGATACGGTGATGGGCAGTGAGGACGTGAGAAGCATGAAGTCAGTATGGCTGAGGGACTTAGCAAGATTCAAGGCCATCCCAGCTGTCAGCCCCCCAGATTGGTTCAAGATGGCAGAAGAGGAGGTGCCAAGGAGAGTGCTAAGTGGTGTGACTGAGTAGCACCCTGCCAGGCTCCGTACACGACCATCCCCTTCAGGTGCCCACATGGCACGCCCAGACGATGAGGAGCCAGGAAAGGCAGCAGATGGAAAGACAGCAGTGCTGCCCCTGTGGGGAGAGGTCCCTGGGGTGGGGAGCTGGAGGGTGCTCAGGACCTGCCCAGGACCTGGGGTTTCAGCTGGCCAGTGTGAAGCCTACAGCAGAGCTGAGGCCCTTGCTGAACATCCAGACCCCAGCCTGAGCAGATCCCTTGCAGATCCTGGACCTGTCCTTAAATGGACTTAACTCTGCATTACCCAGGGGAAAACCTGCTTGGCTACCCACTGTGTGACTTTGGGCAGGTCACACAGCTTGTCAAGATTGAGTTTCTCTGTCTTGGATGGAAACACATTATCTTCCCCATTGACCGTTACTGAGATGGGCAGACCCCAGATGTGGAGAAAGGGCTTGACGCACAGTACGTCACTCAATGGCAACTGGTGGTTTAAGAGTAGGATTTCTAGTGTAGCTTCATCACGGCAACCCACAGCTGCAACCATGGTCAGAGGTGCTTCTGAGGTTGCTGTATCCATTCCTTTTCAGGACTTTCCTGGTTAAAAGTAGTAATAACTGTGAAGATTTGCCTTCAGCTTTCATCTTGCTGTACCTAGCCTGTCTCCTGGGAGGACTTAGTGAGAGAGTGTCCTTGCCCGCCAGGAGATGTAGAATGTTGTGTGTTCAGCAGTTAAAGCCTTTAGGGGCAGATTCTCCTCATTTTGCCACAGTCCCCACTGCTCCCTGTTGCTGACTCTAGCAATTTCCCTTTCCTTGCTCCCTGCCATGCTGCCTAAGGCATTGAGCCTGTAGTATCTGCCCCAATCCTGCCAGTTCCCTGCAGCAGCTTCCTGAATTGCAGGCCTGGTCCAGAAGCACCAGCCTGGGATGAGCTAGCCTTGGAACCCAAGCCAGCTGAGCAGGTAAAGTTCCTTCCTCAGCCCATCCTTGAAGGAACCTGATAGGTTCTCAGATTGGTCCTTATGGGGTGATAAAAATCATGGGTCTGGATCTATAATGACCAAAGACATTCAAAAGGTAACAACTGACTGGGACTGGGATTGGAGGTCAATGACCAGTGGGAATGGACACTGCACCAACACAGCCTGGAGCACAGCCCTGGGGCCAGAGTCCTCCAGGCATCACCTTGATGCTCTGACCTCAGGGAACACAATGGCAGCTTCTGCTCACACAAACACAGCAAAGTTAAACAGGGAGTGCAAAATCAACCCTGTTTTTTCAGAGAAAATAAGAAGCTTCAAACACAGGTAGCCCTTGCTGTGCTCTCTCAGGCTCCATCCCAGAGCAGGGTCCATTCCCACCTGTGTCTGGGGTTCCTTGCTGAAGGCATTTGGGGATTCTGGCCTCCATGATTTCCAGCCCCTCTGCTGACCTCTGGATCAACCTAATGACTCTGATCTAGTGTCCCACTGGTTTGTTAGCCCCTTGTCTTAACAAGGGGTGGAGGAGACAAACGTTGGTTCCCCCTGCAAGTGCTTCCTGCAGGTTTAGAATCTGAGGCTAGAGCACGGCTGACTATCTTCACTTGAGAACTTTATGTAGTGTTCAGGCTAGACAACCACCCATTGCAGCCCTTCTCAGGACTTTTTCCAGCCAGCTGGAGTAGTCATGCTGTCTTTGGGACTGTTCAAAGTGGACCTCCAGGCTTTGCTTGTACACCTCTGAAGATGATGGTTCTTTTACTTTCAGGCAGTGCAGTGCCCTGCAGGAACATTGCTTACCACTGCCAAGGCCTAAGCTCATTTATGTTTCTCTTTGTTCCATGGTCTCCACCTGCTTCTGGGGATATATAGAGCAATCCCCTGCATTTCCAGGCAGCCCCATAGAGATGTGAGGCAGCCTGCTCCATCTAAACTCCCCCACACACATGTGTAACCAACTTGTACCTCTGATAGCGTCTTGCCAGCCCACCTCTGCCATCACAGGGGGCTGCATCCTGGACACAGCCCTTTAGGCAAGCAGAGTGGGGCCATTGCTTTCCTTGTTTGATCCCTGAATCTCTATTAATACAACCTTCCTCATTGTCCATCTTGTTCTATCTTCATAGCAGATGTGCACCACTCTTGCCTGGTCACAGCTATCCTAGGGAATAGCCAAAGCCCAGTAATGTTTGTTTGGTTCCCCACAGGTGTGTATCCTGGCTCCATCACGCCCCATAATGGGCTTGCTTCTGGGGTCCTGCCCCCCACGCATGATGTTTCTTCCAGACTCCACCCACTGGACGCCACCACAAGCTCCCACCACCATCTGTCCTCTCTGCCCACAGCGGAGAGCACCAGGGACGGGTATGTACCCCAAGCCAGTCCTCGGAAGATATGTGGCCACCTACAGGGGAGGCGAGCGAGAGATCACACGCCACCTGGTTATGATAATGACAATAGCCCATGTTCAGGGAACTCATGCTGCGTACTGCACTCTGTACCAAACACGTCCATGCACGATGTCATCGGTGCCTCCCAGCGGCCTTTAGAGGCAGGTAGTATTGGCACCCAGGCTTCTGGATACCCACTATCTGCTCCCTACTGAGGGCCCTGGAAGAATGCAGGGGCTCCTCCCATGTTCTGACATACCCAGACCCCCTTGGAGCCTCCCTTATCTTCTCCCTGGCCTCTTCATGCCTTTGGTGAGCAGACTTCCCACTGCCCTTCTAAAGAGGCTGGCCTGGCCCTCACTCCACCTCTGGTCACTGCAGCTGTGGCTATGGCTGGGCTTGCAGAATTGCCTTGGCACCTTAATGCAGGGTCACTGCAGAGAGGGCCACCTCTCCTACATTCAGTGTGGCTTTCACTGTGGCCACTTCATTGACTAAACATGATGAATGTGCTCACTGCTGGCTCCTCACACTGCTGAAATCTCTCCCTTGCACATGATTATCTTCGCTTATCACCACAGTGACTTGATCAAATTTGTTGCCTAAGACCCGGCCCCAGAGCCTCCCTTTTTCCTTGCCCTTCCTCCCTAAGACTGTAGCACTGACCTTGACAAGCACACACCTGGGACCAGCCTGGCCCACTGCTCCTACCTGGGCCACTCCTGTCATTCGTTCATCTGTTCATTCCTTCAGTGTCAGTTATTAAGCCATGTGAGTAGGGCAGGGCAGGCCCAATGGGGAGCCACTGCTGGCTCCAACCTGCAACAGCCTCTTGAGGTGCGGGAGTCAAGCTGCGGACTGGCCACATAGGTGGTATTCTGAGTAAGGTGGCAGAAAGGGCTGTGGAAACCCAGAGGACCTCTTGGGAGTCTGCCTGCTAAGCCAGGCTCCAAGGTAAAACAGAGTTGGGTCATTGGTCAGTTTGGGGGAAGGGGCAATAGGGACACTAGCAGCCTACATGCCCAGCCATCTTGTGGGTGACAAGCTGGAGTGAGGCTGCTGCGCCTAGACTACAAAGTCAGTGATAGGATGTCCTGAAGGGTATGAGATAGCCATGTGGTCAGGTTTGGGGAGGAGGACACAGGCTGGAGGGAGTGTGGGTGCAGGACCACAGCCTGAGTCTGGGCAGGGTGGGATGCAGGAAGAACACCCAGAAGGCAATGGTGGCACAGGCTGAGCAGGAGTTGGAGAGGAAGAGGCACCAGGGACAGGCCCCAGGGAACAGAGGGGTGTGGGCGGAGCTAGGGAAGATCATGACTGTGAGTGAGCACACAACCATGAAGAAAGAGGGACCTAGCAACCCGGGCTCTCCCTGATCCTCAGGTTCTTCCTCAGTAAAAAGCATTGAATGCCCTATTCTAGGATCATGGTGAGGATAGCCACGCATGCCTGGCATTGTTTGTGTCCCCCAGTACAGACTCCTTGGACAGTAGCCTGTACCTTCCACTCACCCCCAGCTCAGGCCACCTGCTCACTCACCAGCCAGCCTCCAACATCTCCAACCAAAAAAAATGAAACCACAGAGGCCCTTCCTACCTGGGCCTGTGCTCTCTGCTCAGCCTCATTCGTCACCTGCCTGTCGCCTGGCATAAGTGCCCATCAAGAATTCCTGCAGTGAGAGGCAGAGTGATGACAAGACAGGACTCCCAGCCCACCTGCCCACCCCTGCTTGCAGAGTGGGCTCTCGTCATCCCCACCGGCCAAGCGCCCGGCCCCTTGGTTGCAGGAGAGAAGGGTCCTCGTGCCTGACACCAGTCCCAGGCTTAGCCTGAATGGGTTTCTTTTTTCATCTTCTGAAGAGAGAGGGGAGGGAAGGGCCTTCAGCCTCCCCTTCCTGCCAAAGTCAACAGGGACTGGCCACTTGAGGCTCCCCAGCGGTTTGCTGGGACGTTTAAATAGCTTGACAGAATTATCTGATGCACTCAAAAATATGCTAAGAGGGCCTGACTTCATGACCAAATGTATTTACCCTGGCTCAGAGAGGACGCTGAATAGGGCAGGTTTTTTCCCAGCCCTGTGCGAGGTATGAAGCCCTTGGTCTGCCAGGCCAGTGAGGTTTCACGTTAATTTTTATTGGTTCCAATTGAAGCACAAGTATTTGATCTGGGAGTCATTTGCATGGCTCAGAAAAGGACTCCAGGTGACCTCCTTTCCCTTGAGAGTCCAGGTGGAGCCAGGCAGCTCCGCTTGCATGGCGGCTGCAGCTAGAGTCGTGTTCTGTTTAATTTCACTGGCTGTGAAGGTGGCAAATGAGAATTTATGGCAGGGTTGAGACGAGTAAAACAAACATTAAAAATGCATGTGTTTCCCCATCAGATCTGTCCCCTGACTTCTACACAGCTGCTCATCTCTGGGGTTTGGAACTGATTGATTCAGAAACCCACTTACTGTTCTCAGTTGTTTTCCTCATTCCAGGCCCTGTGCTGGGCACCTGTAACCTAGAGGGCCGAGAGCTGGCCTCCACACAGGAGCTGCCATTAGAGAGCTGGGTGGTGGGTGCCTACGTGGGACAGGAATAAGGCAGGCACCATGCAGCAGGCCTAAAGGAAGGGGACCACTCATCAGACCATGCCTTGACCCAGCTTCCACCAAAACTGACAGTGAGGAACCCCTGCTGGACTCCAGCCCTCCACAGTTTGTACTGCACAGACCCTGTCCTGCTTTATAAGGATTTGGCTCCTGAACTTAAGGTGATGTGTAAATTCAGTGCATAAGTCACTGGGCCAGGGACCCAGCACAGAGACCCTGTTCCCTGTCCTCAGTGATGGAACATGTGGAAGACAATAGGGCAATGATGGCAGGGTACCCAGGCTGGAAGTTGCAGAGGGGACCTGATGCCCTGCCCGGCTGCAAAGGCCGCCTCACCTCTCTTTGAGTCTCCTGCCCGTATCACATAATAGTCCTGCTTCCCCAAGAGTGAGTACAGCCGTCCCATTAATACCTCTTATGGCCGAGTGGGCAAGCGTAAGGTGCCTCACTCAGCGAGGCCACCTGAAACTGTATTTGAGCATGGATGGTGAACAAACCCACAAATCCAAACAAGACAACGAAGACAGCCTTTGCTCTCCATCTTCCTACCATGCATGAAATATTTGCATTTTAGGTTTCAAGCCTTCAACCTGGTCCCAGACCCCCAAATGCAACTGACCCCAAAGTCACTTTGGCCCCTTGTGAGCAGGACCCGAGGTTTAGAAAGGGATCCTGAGGCAGGAGCCTAGTCAACAGTGAGGTGAAATTCAGTTAGATGGCGCTTGGTGCCTGTACAGCTCTTGTTTGCTGTGGCGTTGGCTCAGAACACGAGGTTCCAGAGAACACAGTCTTGGGCCTGCATCCCTTAGGCTCTGTATGAATGGAGATGGTGAAACCCCCACCACAGGAAGTATGCAAGTGGGGAAGAGATGGCCAGGGATGAAGACAGGAGAAAGTCCTCAACATACACTATGCAGGAGGAAAATGGGCCAACTTGGACATCAGACTGACCTGCTAACTTTTCTCCCCTTTATCTTGATGATTAATAGAGGGGCTAAGAACATCTCAGGCATCGTATTGGGGGGCTTTGTTTACATTACTCTGATTTTACCCTCATTATAACCCATGAAGTCAGAGCTATGTGGCTGGGAAGAACTTGGGCAACCTCTCTGAGCACTCAGTAGTGAGGGCTGTGGAGTGCCAGGAGGTCAACACAGCACCCTGCAGGGAAACCAAGGCTTGACAACATTTCCTGAAAGTCATGTGGCAGGCAAGGACAGTTAGGAGTTTGAACACTGTCCTGTGGACTCTGACGGTCATGCAGATGGTCTGTGTTCTTGCTGACTCGCAGCCCTGGATGCCAGGCTGTCAATTAAAACGTAATTCCCATTTGAAAATAACCAAGCACAGCTCCCACTTCTACTGACATTGTGCGATACAGCAGGTGGCAAGAGGCCCTGAGGCCATACCTCTGCTGGCCCTGCCTACTCACCATTATCTGTTCTTTCCAGGTTGGGGTCCAGCCTCCTCTCACCCATGGTCAGCCCACTGAAGGGGCTGGGGCCACTGCCACCATCTTCTCAGGGCCAGTCTCCAGGGGGCCAGCCCTTCCCCACACTTCCCAGCAAGCCGTCGTACCCACCCTTCCAGAGCCCTCCACCCCCACCTCTGCCTAGCCCTCAAGGTAAGCCCTGGCAAGGGCCTCTCATGCATCTCATGCACCCATAGCTCCTCGGGGACTATGGAGACACACGGGCCTAAGGAGGCAGGCTGGTGCTGAGAGCTGTGCTATGAGAAGCTAGGAGACAGTGACCCATGTGGCCTAGCCAGGGTACAGCCTGGAGGAGACCTGTTCTTAGAGGTGCTTGTTCCATCCACAGCAGGAAGGGTGTTCCCTACAAGGGAAGGGTGTTGGTGGCAGGTGAGCCAGGCTTACTACTTGAAGGAAGAGTGAGTGGGTGGTGTGGGGAGTCTTTAGTTTCTGTGTGGTACCCCTCACACAGAGTACCAGCATCAGCTTCGTGGGACCCCTCACCCTCCTCTGTGCCCCCTCTGCCACAGGCAGAGACCCAGCCCTTTCTCTGCCCTGTGCTCTCTTGTTCACACCCACAATGCCTGAACTAGACAACATAGGCTGAGCTGTGCGATGACCTGGTCCCTTCCCTGTCCTGACATTTCCCTTCCTTAATGTGGCTCCTGCCACATCCTCCTTCAGGCTACCAGGGAAGTTTCCACTCCATCCAGAATTGCTTCCCCTACGGCGACTGCTACCGGACGACAGAGCCAGCAACCAGTGGGGACGGACTGGCAGGGGAGGCCCACAGTTTCAATCCTCTGCGGCCCAATGGCTACCACAGCCTCAGTGCACCTTTACCTGCCTCAGGTGAGTGCTGCCTGGGATCCTCCCTTCCCCAGAACTACTGAGGCCTGACCCATGATGCGGGCTTTACACAGTGTCTTGTGTCCTTTGGACAGCCCTATGTGGTAAAGTCATCCCACATAGAGAGGCAGGGGCAGAGGCTCAGAGAGGTCCCAGGCCCCACAGAGCTGGGATTTGCACTCGAGTGACGGTAGATGGTGCTCCTGCCACAGCCCCACACAGCTCTGTGTGTGTATCTTGACTTTGGCAGGTTTCTGAGGACACAGAGAAGAACTAGCCTGGAGCTCTTAGTCTAATTGGTGCTTCACTCCACGTGTTGTTTGAGCACCTACTGTGTGTCAGCTCAGGTGTAGACCCTGCAGCTACATCAGGGACTGAGACAAACACTGATCCTCAGTTAACAGGAGGACCAGGAAGAGGAACCATTTGAGGCCTGCTCCTTCTCCTGCAGGGGCTGGGATCTGAGAGTAAAAGGTGTAGAGGGTCTGTCTCCCCATCCCTGGCTGGGTAGAGAAGCCCAGTGAGAGGAATGGGCTCTACGTGGCCCACAGCAGAATCAGGCTCAGCCCAGCAGGGCAGGCCTGAGCAGAGTAGGGTGACACATGGGTTAGTGGGACCTCCCAGAGTTCCCTAAACTGAATCCCACCCAAACCAGCCTTAGGGCCCAGACCTAGCTGGAGGCTACAAGGGCCCAGACCTAGAGGGAGCTGTGACTCTGTCCCAGAGGGCTCTTGGGTAGCACTGAGTGTGTAAAGTCAGGGGAAGAGGGACAAAACAGAGGAAAGCACCGAGACCATAAATGCACATGCCTGTGTGTCCATTTGTGACATCACATACATGTTTGCTTGCTGGTGTCTGTGTCTCTATTCCTCCTTCCTGCAATGTGAAGCAAAGTCTGCATGCATTAGGGATGGCCTGGGTGGCTCTGGGCAGTGTGAGGGGCTCCAAGGGCACACATTCTCATATCTGCACACAGACGTCATGCTGATGTTCACATGCCCCTCTCTGCACGTCCTGTGTTACCATCCCATGGTTCTCATCTGTGTCCATAGACCTGTGTGTGTATATTAGTACATTTGAGCTTTTTCAGATGAGTGGTGGGTACAGTGTATGTGCATCTGTGGGTGGATGCGTGCCACATATGTGCATGCTAGGCCTGTGTGCAGGCCACCTGTGTCATCCTCATGGGGGATGTGTGCTCTGTGCTTGTACACACATGGATTTGTGTGTGATCAGGCACCAGCTCTGTGCCTGAAGTGCTGGCTCTCATGACCTTGTCCTCCCCACCCCCATCCACCCAGTTTAGCAACGAGACCTGACATAAACAGCTCTGAGGGGGCGAGAGGCAGCCCTCCACCTCCCCTCTCCCCAGCACCCAATCCAGCCCCCCTCAGCTGCCTCACTGCCAGCTGCCTTCCCTGTCATGATGAAAATAATCTCAGGCTGAGCAAAGCTGGTGGGGCCAGAAGACTATGGAACAGTTCAGCCCATTCCCAATACACAGATGGAAAACTGAGGCTCTCCTGTCTGAGGCCACACAGATTCATAGATTCATGACAGCAGCTCAGGGACAGGGGCTGGATAAGATGTCTCTCCCTCCCAAGTTAAGGGCCTCTGAGCAGTGACCCCACCTGGGGGACAGTGTGTCTAATGGCAGAGCCAAGTGTCTTCAGAGCCAGATGGATATGATTTCAAGTTCCAGCTTCTCCACTTACAAGCAGTGTGACTTTAGACAAATGTCTGCCCTCCTTGAGCCTACCACTTCTGCTAGAAGGGCATAACCCTGCAATAGGACTGGGATACTCCTTTCCCCATTTTTGTCTCCCTCTCTTTCTCCCTGTATTCTGCCCCACAGTCTGGCACTGGGGGATTGGCTGCCCCAAGCCAGCTCTGCCTGTCTTCCTAGCTGCCCCAAGCTCCTTGAAGGGCAAGGCCTAGGACTCCACCTGATCCTCTTCCTATCCCAGCCACCAGCTCCCCAGCTATGCCATCCCCCAGGCCCCAAGGAATAGGGGGACTTCTGAGGGAGGACCCTGGGCAGACATCTAGCAGCTAGGAAAAGACAACTGAGGCCTAGCCTCTGCCATCTTCCAAGCCCTGACCCTCTTCTGCTCACTCACAGGCTATGAGGCCCTCACCGAGGCCCCATGTCCCACAGCACTGCCACCACAGCCATCCGAAGACGTGGTGTCCAGCGGCCCTGAGGACTGCAGCTTCTTCCCCAATGGGGCCTTTGACCACTGCCTGAGTCATATTCCCCCTATCTACACAGACACCTGAAGGAAGGCCTACACCTGCCTGCCCAGTTCACAGACACTGCTTCACCTATTGCCAATGGCTCCTGCCCCACTGCACTGGGCAGGGGCAGCCAGGCCACTGTCACAGGGGGAACCAGGTGCTGTGGGCAGTAGCTGTATGAGCTCAGTGCTACCCACCAGGGCCCATGACCCTGTGGCAGTCCCTTGATGTGTCTTCCTATTTCTCTCCCCCATGGTTTTAAAATCACAGACCTCGTGTATATAAATTGTACAGAACGTGTTTTCCATTCCCCTGTCAGTTTTATATTTTTGGTTTTACAAGAAAAACATTAAAAACTGGAAACGAGACTTGGGAGCCTGGTTCTACTTTGTGATTCAGCCTAGAGGCTGCAGCCAGGAGAACCTTGGAGAGTGTACAACAAAGAGTCAGTCTTCTGGGGCTTGGGAGGCCCCATGGAAACCAGCTCAGGTCCTGGGTTCTGACTGTAGAAATGGGAACCAGTTTCACCTGTCCCCCATCACATGCTGTGGTCTTACAGACCCCAGTGCCAGTCCCAGGACAACACTACCAGATAAGGATATCACCACAAACAGGAGAGGAGATTGAGGCTGGGAGGGGCTCAGTGACTGGCCCGGCCCCATATTCAGACCAATATGGAACTCAGATTCATAGCCTCAGACCCTTGTGGCCACACTGAGTCCTCAGCTAGTGGAAGAGTGAGCTTAAGCTCTGCTACCTGGGCTCTGTGTGAACAGCAGATGCCATGAAAGGCAAGATAAACCTTTGGGGACAGAGTCCCAACAGCCTCAGAGGGCAAGGGGCAAAGAGCCCCTACAGGCTGGCTATGCTCACCTGGCTCTACCTCTTGCTTTGCCAGTCTCTCCCCCATGTCTAAAACAGAGAAAAGGCCTACAGACTAGGCCTGTGCAAGTGACCTGGACAGTGTATTGCATTTCACTGTGTCACCCTGAAAGTCACCTGGATAAAAGATAAAGTCCTGTCTCCTCCCTGCTAAAGAGACACAGAGCAAGGAGGTCACATTCCCTGCACACCTACTATGTTTGTGGTCTTCTCCTGCTTCTGAAAACACCAAGGGAGGCACTTCTAACCCCCCATAGCTGAGAAGCAGCCACCAGGATTTAAGGTCAGGGATGCCCCCTTTGTCTACACAGCCGGCTTACATGGGAAAACTGAAATGGAAAGATCTATGTTCAGCCCCCTTCTTCACAGAGGGGAACTGATGCTCACAGAGGCCACCCAGCCAAGCAGTGACAGAATCCCTGCTCATTGATGGGACTGCTGCATGTCTGCTCCCTCTCCATCATTTAGGGACACCTAGCCTGGAACATACCTAACTATGTGAATCCTCCAAAGAATGCACTAGAACTTCATGGCACCAGGACTTCACTGCACCCTGACCTGTTTGCTTACCACCCCCTCCCTTTATAAAGTGTCCAGGCTGCCCTGCAGGGCTGTATTTAAAGCCAGCTCTCTTCAGCCAATGAAGAGCCCAGGATGGGAGCAAGGGTCAGGGGGCAGCTGTGTCAAGTGGTCAGGCATGGGTGGGGCCTGACACCCTGCCACACTGCTATAATAGCCCCTTCATCAAACTCCACCACCATTTTACAGATGCAGAAACTGAGAGTAGCGAAGTAACACACATGTGACACAGCCAGCCCACACTCTCACCCACTGAGCCTTCCAGCCCCTGAAAGACTCCGGGTATCCTGACTCCCATGTCCCCTCTCAGCCCTGGCCTCTCAGCATGGGACAAGACCCAGCCCCCAACAGGGCAGGACTGACCCAACTTCACATAGCACACAGGGCTCCTGACTCCCAGCCAGGTCCTCTCACACTTGTACCCCCTCCCCCACTGATTTTATGGAACTAATTAGGCCGTGGCAAAATTCCTTTAACAGGGATGCTCAGGAATCAATACTGCATGTCATTGTAAGTACTTAATCCACTCCAGATAAGCAGAATTAAGCTGTACAATGAGGCCATATTTCTATTAATAATGAAAAGGGCTGAGCCTCGAGCAGAACACACAAGGAGCTGGCAGTTGGATCCCATTTAATTTCAGAGAGCAGAGCAGGACACAAGGAGACAAAGGCACAGGGAAACAAAGACACCCAGAGAGGAGACAGACAAGCAGTCTGGAGGTGCAGGCGGAGCCAGAGCCCTGCTCACGATAGTCCTGGGGGCTGTGCCAACATGATTCCCCCTTCCCCTACTGGGGACTGTCCCTACTTCTCTTGGCCCCCTGGCCCTGACACCCACAGGGTTTGCCCCTCATCTAAGGGTAGCACAGCACAGGAGGGTCCCCAGAGCAGGGCAGGACATACCTGGGCCCCTTCCCCAGCAGTGCTTCCTGGTCCCTCACGTAGAAAACGGTACAGCCCCTTCTTGGCTCTGCCCTGCATTAGAGCCTCTGCACCAGAGGGCATGGGAACCTCCCACCTCCGTTCCCAGGGGCATGACTGTTCCCCTAAATGGCAGGGGTGTGTGACTGTCACTGTCACACAGAGAGGGCGGGGGTTAGGTGAAGGGAGCTGGTGTTTCTCACTGGGCCTGAAGAGCCCCTGGAGGATGGGCCACAGGCTGGGGGCCCTGTGGAGTCTACAGAGCAATGGAAGTGAGTCTGCCTGGGGATCCAGAGTACAGGGACAGTGCCCAGGCTGCTAAGTGACCATGCTGCCCTCCAACTGAGCCACTCCAGACTGCTCCACAGCCCAGGCCTCAGGCTGAGATTGCCTTCCCAACAGTGTTCACTCTCTGACTCCCTCAGGGCCCTGTCTCTTCCTTCTCTCACCTCCTCCCAACTCCTATTCTGGCTCCCTGCCTTCCCAATGGAGGCTGTGTGCCCCGTGTCTCTCCCTGCCCCCAGAGTCTCCCCTCCTCTCTTTGTCCAGCCTGCTCAGTTTGTTCCCTTTGTCCCTTTTCTTTCCTCTGTTTTTTTTTTTTTTTTCCTTTTTCTTTTTCCTGTTAAAATCCTCTTTCGCTGCCAGGTAGCACCCAGTGTCAGGAGATTTCTTACCTCTCTCCTTCTCTCTCTTCTTTGCTCCTTCCTTCTCACTCCTCCCTAAACTCTGTGGTCCAGAGAGGTACAGTGACCTGCCCAAGGCAACATAGGCTGGGGTGGGCTCAATAAGACAGCTTCCTGGTGGAGAGGCCTTCAGAGCAGGGCTCTCCTCACCCAACCCCTCCCTCAACCTGGATTACACCTGCCAGGGGTCACACTTGGGAACTCCTCTTCTACCTGTGACCAGAGATTCCCCATACCTGGGCCTGCTGGCCATGGGGACCCCATGAGTTATTACAGGACCAAGGCCATCAGGCTGAGAGCTCCCACTGAGACCCCAGCCCAACCCATCGCTTCACACCCAGGAAGCCCAGGCTGAGCAAGGAGTCAAGCAAAGGTCAGGCAGAGCAGAGTCAGGTGGTGTATACCTTGGACCCCCCCTCTGCTAGGCAGAGCCTGGACTATGCCCCCCCACCGCAGAACACAGGCTTCAGGGGTGCTACCCTGATCTGCCCTTTTCTCCACTGACCACCAGCTCCTAGGACAGTACCTGATACACAGCTGGTGCTCAGTACCTGCTCGCCATCTCCATCAGTGGGGAGGAGACAGAAGCAAGGGATCAAGGTCCTGCCTCACAGAACCTCCAGCAGAACCTCTATAAGTTTGGTCATCTTGTCCAAGTGAGGACACAGGTGCAGAGGGAGTGTGGTTTGTGCAAAGGTACAGAGCAGGTAGCAGTAAGAGACTAGCAGTAGAGAACCCACCACCTCACGCTTTTAGTGCACACTCCATGCTCAGCGCCTACTGAAGAGCACATGCAGCGCGTCCTCCACTCAGCAAAGTGCCGTGACCCATCTGCAGAAGAAACAACAGGCTCAAAGAAGTGACATGTCCAAGGCCATTTCAGCAGAGCTGGAATTCAGGTGCAGGTCCCTGGCACCCACGCCTGGACCTCCTGGTCTGCATGACAGACCCAGACTAGGGTTCCTGAACCTGCCTGAGGATTTTTAGCATACACCCCTCTCACCCCCCCAGAGGGGACCATTATGCTTTTACAAGTCCCCATTTATATACTTGCTTGGGCCTCTGGCCCTGCCAGGGATTTATAGGTTTCAAGTGGTCCTGTCTCTGGGGGAAATGCAAACAGAACTTGAGCCGGGGAAGAACTGGCAGCCCTCATCAACCCTGCAGCCACAGAGCCAAAGCCTTGAATTTACTCCCAGGGGCCTTGGGCCTGGGGCAACTGGACCCTGCCACAGAGCCATCTTGGTGTTGGACGTGGGCCTGGTGGAGCAGCCCAGGGTTCACCATGCCATGGAAGGGACCAGGCTTCACTGCAGGGCAGACGCACTGAAGCTGAGGATGAGGCCATTCTGATAGTCCCTGGGGTTCATTGTGCATATGATTCTCTATAATTTGGTGGGTTTGAAAATCCTGAGAAGAATTTAAGCAGTCCACTGTGGCCAAGCTGGGATTTTCTCACTTGCCTAGTAGTCTGGGCAGGATCAAGAGACCCATCTGGGCTTGTTCAGGCTGAAGTTTTGTTGGGGAAGGGTCTAGAACCTGAGTTCTGTGTGACTGTCTTGTCACAGCAGAAACCACATTGGTGGCCATGTGGCCTAGCATACGGTCTAGCACATAGTTGGGGTTTAATAAATGCTTCTTTTGAGTTAGCTTGCCAGTGATAAATAAGAGTACATGCAGAACAAGAGCCAGGACAGGGAGCCATCTGTTAACCTCATACCTGAGGGTGCTGTGAGCATGCCTGGGAGAACAGAAGACTCCAGGGTCCTTGGCTTCATCCCCAAAGCTCTGCAGGGGGCCCTGGAGAGAGAACAGTCTATGCTAGGAGATCCTCAAGCAGCTGAGAGCCCATGGGTATGGCCGGAAAAATGTCAGATTTACAAAAGGCCAAGTCCTCTCAAGTGAAATGGACTACTTTGGGACAAGGTGAGCTCACCATCGCTGGGTGTGCAAGCAAGAGTGGGCAAGAAACTGCAAAGAGTCCTGTACTTAGTGAAGGCATGGATGGCACAGCTTCTAAAGGCCTCGCCACACCAACTTGACTCTAATAGCAGCTATCTCATGCTGAGAAAGAGAGGCCGGCCACCCCCAGCATCATCCTGCAGCTAGACATAGGACAGGGGCAGCCAGGTGATTAATTGTGTGTTTGCAAGGAAAGACGGTGGT